AAAGAAAAATAATTGAAAAATAATTGAATTTGAAGCCGAGTTTTTCAGTCAAATTGAATACTTAGTACTAACGATCTTATTGGTTATCGGTCAATTTTATTTGTTCAACAGAAAATTGTTTTAGGAACAACATTTACCCAATTAAACAAAAGATTCAACGGTTGAACCATTCATACAAACGGGTCCAACTAATGAAATAATGCATATAATTTAGTTTGCCTAAATATCTAAAAGCAATATTCTAACAATATTAATTTTTTTTTAAAGTAAACAGTTACCCGGGCGGATGCACGGGTCAAAATCTAGTTATGTTTATATGTTAAAGATAGAGATAATGGCTTAATTTTGAAATTGAGAGTAAAAAAATTTAGTATTATATAATTTTTTAAATACTCACGTGCTTTCGTTGTAACTAAAATAGTCATAAAACGTGATGAGTTTTTTTTCATAACAGTTACGTTGATGGCATTGAAATCGTAAATTAATAACATTTTGATCACATATATTAAAGAAATATTTATGACAATTTTTTTGTCTTTAATTCGTCATCATTTGTGACATTATTTTGTTACTTAATATTCAGTCATAATATTATGACCAAATAGTTACCATTTTGTAACGTAATAACTTGGTTACAAGTTAGTTAACAATTCGTCACAAAATTGTGACAAACTATTTTGACACAAAAATTAGTCACAATATCCATCTTTTTTTGTAGTGTAGGCGAGCCAAGTATTACAAAACTCCAAACACAAGTCTGGAAGGTTAAAGCCCGAAGATGTGTCATTTTATGTGGTAGATTATAACAGGTCACGTGGCTGTTACGAGTGCTTTAAACCATAGACACATAAGATGTGACAACTTTTGTCCACGATGCGAAGAACCGGAAGAAACAGTTACACATGCAATCTTCCAATGTCCACCTGCTTTACAGGTGTGGGTTTTATCATCTATACCTACCAACTCTACTTTATTCCCACTGCAGAGTACATATGCAAACATGGATTATCTATTTTGGAGAAAGAAAGCCATAATGGAGCCAGAACTAGTCATGGACCCTTATCTTTAGCTAATATGGTACATTTGGAAGGCTCGGAACGATAAGCTGTTCCGAGGGATTGATAGAGATCCTCTGAAACTTGCCCGGTATGCGAGAGTGAGTGTCTTGCCTGGTTCCAAGCTAATGAACAGGAAATCGTGCCATTGCAAGGGAACATAGATGCTCAAAGCCAGGTCATAAGCCTGAAAGATATTTGTATGGTAGACGGTTCTTGGACCTCTATAGACCAATTCTCAGGTTTTGGTTGGGATTGGAAGGATAACATGGGAAATAGCCAGTTGATGGGCATGCTTAATGTTAGTAGAGTGGAGTCGGCTTTGCACTCTGAGCTGGAAGCACTGCGGTGGGCAATGGAGAATATGCTTCAACATTCGCCATGTCAGAGCTTTGGGACGGATTGTAAGGAACTGATAGCAATGCTCACAAAGCCCCATGAATGGCCAAGTTTTTCGACAGAACTGGAGAGACTCTTGACGCTGCGGATTTGCTTTCTAGATTTCAAGATTATTTATGTTCCTAGATCTCAAAATGTTGTGTCCGATTTCTTAGCTAAGACAGCTCGATCCTTCTATCGTGATCTGATGTATGTTGGTTGTTCTATTCCGGTCTTGATTCCCAGACCACCCCAAGCTTGAGTAATAGATCAGCCTTTCGTTGTAAAAAAAAAGTATAGTAATGATTTATATTTGAGCAATTCTCTTCAATAATCTTTTTTTAAATTTTCATTCCACAACTAATCTTTCAATCTGAAAATCAGAAATATAATTTTTTCCAAAAGATTAATGACTTTAATGTCCTTACTATATATTAAACAAACAAAAAATAAGAGAAAACTCTAGATCTCTCTCTCGATAGTGAAGGCAGACGAAAAATCAAATCCGATTTTGTTTCATCATCTCAAGCGAAGATGTCTCCGACGAACAATATTGTCATCATCTCCAGTGAATAACACGAAGCTTTGATTCTCCTACGACGCCATCTCGATATGATTCTAAAGTCTAGGATTTTGAGATTCAAATATGGGACTTTTGTCTTCAGTGATAATTACTTTCGTTTTATAGCTACTTGAGAACTAATAAGTTTGCTTTGGTGTATGTCTAAGAGATTCATAATTCATTTCGACCAGTAAAAATCTAAGGTAATCCATTTTTATTGATTGGATTTGTACCTTTGTGTTAAATATTCATTATGAATATTGAACCATAAGATATTCATTATGAATATGAACCATGAGATCCAAAAAGACTTATGTGTGTTCGCTAAAAGAGATCTATAATTTACTGTGTTAAAGAGCATTTAACATATATGTTTTACTATATGCATTGTATAAGGGCATTTAACATCTATGCATTGTATAAGACTTATGTGTTGTATAAGAATATCTACAACGTACAAAAACTGAAGCATTGTAGAAGAGTATATAACATCTATGTTCTAGAAAAACTTTGTAAATATTTAGAAAGGTTATCCAAAAATACTTTCTTGTTCGTTTAAGATTCCTTTGTCATATGTTCACGATTTCTACATCTTTATATGATATTATCAAGAAGTGTCTTTTGTTCTGTTTCATAGGATATGTTGAAATATCCATTAGATATGCCACTGCCTTCGTTGAGATATCCCATTGGGTCAGAACCGAATCAGTTAGTATCGATTAAGCAACACTCAAACGAACAGTTTATAGATGAAGATTTCAAAGAAAGAGTTAGAGTTAGATGAAGATCAAGATGTTTATATCGATTTCTGTTTATAATCATTTTAAAATATTTCATAAATTAAAATAATTTTTATTATAACTTTCTGCCCGTAAGGCAGGCCGGCCCCAGTATTCTATGTTTATATGAAACAATATTTTTCCTTAAAAAATTGAGAATCATTATAGTGATGACACATGTCATAGTTACACATATTGTAATGCTTCTCTTTTAATATATAAAATATTTGGTCCAATTTGAGTTTCATTTATCCATATACTTATTTTTGATTCCAAAGAACATATTTATGTTCACAAACTTTAAAAGATTAAACAATTTATATTAGTAAAGGTTTCATAGCATGATTAAAATTGGTTGTTAAGAAGAGAGAAAAACTTAATTATAAACGTAAGAACATCATTTAAATTAAAGGAATAGCTTTGAAACTTTGAAGAAAACTTAATTATAATCAAACTTTAAATGTAATTGTTAAAATCAATATTTGACTAATTATCATAAATATACATTCAAATAAACATTGGAGTTACTTTTTCATTTTACAAATATTTATTATAGTACTTTTTCAAGATTGATATTCTATCTGATATGAGTATTTTGTGTTTTTTTAAAAAAAAAAAGTCTGGGGGGAGGGACGAAAGAGGGAGGTTGCATATATGTTTGAGTTCGGGTTCGGTTCAGATAAAAAGAAAAATATGGTAATATAAGATTTATTCAGGATGTTATATCGGTTCACTTTGGCCTTACCTTTTATTAAATCGGATCGGTTCATATTTTTCCGTGGTTCATTTTCTTTTACCTACCCCAACATGTAAATAAGCCATTTAAGCTTTACAAAGAAAATTAATAGTAAGTATCTAGGAAAAATAATTAAATTATGTTTTAACATATGTGAAAAAAGAAAAGTGGTGTTAATACAATAAAATTAAAAGATTACTAAAAGAAAACATGTATTATATATTAATATAAGAAGATTGAAAATATAATATTTGTAATACATGACTATGTTTCTAGTGAAATGTGAACGGTTATAATTCTCTGAAAATTAATCCATAACAATAAACTAATAATTTGTGTAACCAAACAGAACAATATGTAGCCAGAGCCGTAGTTTTTTTCTTCTTGTTTTTTGCATAAAAAGTTGTTGTTGTAATAAAAAGCGGATACAAGCACTGGCAACCGAAGAGTGCATATTTCTTAGCTATACATGCATTCATTTTAGTTATTTTTTTTTTTGAATAATCAGGAGGTAATTTGGTGGTCATAACCAACCGACTAATCCCTTTGAAGCCGGGATGAGCCTGCGTCTATACCCATCAAGGGCCAAAGTCGTTTTGTGGCCAGTGTATATCGTACTGATTTGGCTTTTTTGCTCTCTCATGACCACATGGACAATTTACGCTGGTTCATTCATTTTAATTAAATTGTAGGTAAAAGATATACATTAGAGAAGTATATACTATGAATAAAAGGGGCAAATAAAGCCAAATGAGTCTGTCCACGTGGGCAGAAATATTCACCCAATCAAAAGGCTCTAAATTGCCACGTCAACCCGCTTTGTGCCTGAGAAATCAAATAACCAATTGGTTTGTCTACGCGAAATTGAGATGTGAATTCGGCCTGGTTTTTCTCGACAATCAAGCGTTTCACCTTTCTCTCTCACTCTCACAAACAACAAAAGAGCACAACATCTACAATCCATCTTCGATCTCCCTTCTCTCTCACTACTCTGAAAACTCATATTTTTCCGGTTTACAGTCATACGTTCGCCCTCTCTCCTCTCCCTTGCCACCGCCTCCGGTCTCCTCCGAGAAATCAATGAGATCATCTCCACCGATGAGACTTCTGCCACTGTTCTTCCGCCGTCCATCATATCATGTACACTAGATTCGAGGCTCTCAACCGACGCCTCTTTCCCTCTCGACTCTCAACCCGTTGGACCCTTCGCTCAGAGCTGTTACATTTGGATCCGAGATTGTCGGTTTAGTGAAGTCGAGTGTTACGCTCGGCCTCGACGGAGTTACAGTAACAGGCGGGAGACTCGCTGTTGTGCTCGCCGGCGGCTGAGGAACAACCGAAGCTCCAGATTGAGCGGTTTTAATAATCTGACTCTGTTCTATCTGAGGAGATGAGGTTGTTGAGTGAACCGGTCCGCGTCTAAATATCCGATCTTGACGGTAACGAAGATCGAGGGAGGAGGCAGCAAAGGCGAGGCAGTTTTGGACTCCATGAATCTGAATCCTCGGCTTTTCATCAATGGAGCGCTCAACACCGTTGACGACATTGTCGGCGAAGCGTTTGATTTCTTTGCCAGGTAATTAATCTCTCTCAAATCGCGTATTTATATGAAATGTCGATGAAAGACTTTTCTAATTGAGCGTTTGGGTCATTCATTACATTTGCAGTGAACCATCCAATACTCTCAAAATCGTTGGAGGATCGGATAACAGGCCACGAGAGCTAGCAAAAGTGAGTTTAATAGATTTTGGTTTATGTTCGTTTTAGGGTCATCGCTATTGATCAACTTGGGTAAGCTAGCAACTTGCACTCTTTGTAGGTTCCAAAGGATTCATTGTGACTTTATAATATGGTGGTTCTCTCTTTTTTTTGTTCTTCTAGGTGGGGTGGATCAAGTAGACCTGATTTAACGTGTAAAAGCACAGAAGGTATAGTATCATTTGAATCTTTCTCAGTTTTGCTTTATATTATATATGGAGTTGCTTCACCTGTAATGAAACTGTTTTGTGCCTGACTTTAACAATGCAGAAACAGAGGCATGTTTTATAGACTCATTTGAGGAATGGCGTAAACCCAAGAATCTCAGTAACTTTATTCTGTTAGGGCACTCTTTTGGTGGTTATGTTGCTGCTAAAAACGCTATTAAGGTGAATTTTCTACATCTGTGGTATAACTTTCAATGTGTAAAAGGTGACAGCTTGTAACTTATATGGTTTATAACTTTTCAGCATCCTGAGCATGTTCAACACTTGGTTCTGGTGAGATCTGCTGGATTCACTGCAGAATCAGATCCCAAGTCAGAATGGCTCACTAAGTTCAGAGCAACGTGGAAAGGTGCAGTCCTGAATCATTTATGGGAGTCTAACTTCACTCCTCAGAAGCTGGTTAGGTATGCTCTTATAATGTTTTCATGTTCACACCTATATAATGCTCTTATAATATTATTCTAAATATGTTTCTGGTGCAGAGGATCAAGTCCTTGGGGTCCAAGTCTTGTAAACCGGTATACAAGTGCAAGATTTGGTGCACATTCTGAGGGAACTGAGCTAACAGATGAGAAATCCAGATTGCTTACCAGTGAGTAATTCTTTCCTTAAGTTCCATAGAGGATGATGAATGCATAGCTTATAGCGATTGTTTGATTTTCAGAATATGTGTATCATACATTAGCTGCAAAGGCTAGTGGAGCGCTGTGCTTGAATTACATCTTCTCCTTTGGGGAATTTGTATCATACATTGTATGAGCATTTACAAAGGTTTGTCCCACCAACTCTGATGAGAAAAATCATTATGAGGTGGAGTGTTTACATAAGTCAAACTTCAATGACTGTTTCTTCTTGTGCAGTGCCAACAACTTTTATATATGGAATGAATGATTGGATGAACTATCAAGGCGCAGTGGAAGCGAGGAAACACATGAAGGTCCCTTGCGAAATCATTCGTGTTCCACAGGTTATTCTCTATAATAGATACACTTTAGTTTTCAGTTAAGAGGGCAGTATTGAGAGAAGAAGATGCTTATGTGAAATTTTTGTTTGATAAAAAACTGTTTTGCAGGGTGGCCATTTTGTGTTCATAGACAACCCATCTGGTTTTCATTCTGCATTGCTTTATGCTTGCCGTAAGCATTTATCTGAAGACCAAGACTCCTCTCATGAAGAACAACTCCCAGATGTTTTACGATTGGTTTAGTTGTACTATGTTGTTCTTTTACATTTCAACTTTTTATTATATATGTACAAAAGAATATAAGAGAACATCAAAAAAGAAAGAAGGAATTATTATGTGCTCATTCTTTTTCCATTTTGATTATGTCTCTCAAGTACGTCCTCAGCCATGGTGATTACAAAAGCCCAAAGTTTTATGAACAGCCAATGGTACGTTCTCTGGATTTTTCTATGTTTCATCAAATTTGTTTCTGGGTGTGACGACGATTAGGAAACGAAAGTGATGACTTGCTCAATATTCATTTTCTGTTTGAACAGGTACTTGCTTCAAATGCGACAGAGGCAATGAAGGAGTCACGGATACCAGCTTTGCTGCATTGGTATTGTCCTGTCTTTTCTTTTCGGCTTCTCCCTTGCTTAACCTGTTTGACTAACAAAAGGTTTGGGTGTTAATGACAATTAAATGGACTAGAATACCAGGGATGGATTTTGAAGCGTTTTGTGCAGCTTCCATCAGTGTTCATCAGCATGAGTCACTTGATTGTTGGGAGCAGAGTGTTCGCCATGCTTATGAGCTCTTTGAGATGAATGGAAACAGAGTTATCGTCATCGAAGAACTCGCTTCGGTAAGTTTGTCTCAGTCACTTGGGACTTTATATTCACTATGTTTTCAGCTAAGTGTTAAAGTTAGAACATACATATTTTTTTCTGTAGGAACTTGGTGTTGGATCATCGATCCCAGTCCATACTATTCTACATGACTGGATTAGACACTGATGGGAAGCTAAGCTTCTTGGGTTTTGTCAAACTGTTGCACGGTGTCTCTACTCTACAGTCTTTAGCTAAAACACGGTGAAGGTATTTTAGATAATTATAAAAGAAGGTACCTATCATCCGATGGTAACTCCATTTAAGCGATAACTAGCATATGCTCCTAACACTTGCGTTTGCAATATTTGTTGCAGACATCATCCGCCAAGTTAGCAGTATCAACACTGTTTTTAATGATGAAAATCAGTACATATAGCTGGTCTTAAAATGTTAACTGTCACAAGTTTTGTTTCAGGTCGGCTTCTTGAATGCAACCTCTCCAATTCATTTTTATTTTGATAATCAAAATTGTGCAGGTTCAAAATTATCTTGAGAGGTAATCACTTTGAGCACTATTTTCTAAAACATGGAGAATACCTTAATAGTCCAACTCACTGACTGAAAGCGGTTCTTATTTAGGACATGAGGCAGTAGCAAAAGCTTGACCTCCAGCCCTACAAATTTGGGGTGTTAAGAAGATTGCGCGAACGACGGTAGCAGCGCTTAGTGACTTCATCCTGAAATCTCCACCTCAGGTATGCCGTTAAATCAAACATAAATTTATATTACTGAAATAACTGACCTGTTTGTGCCTCTATTAAATAAAAATAAATTCAGTCACAAGAATTTATTTGCACTGGACAACTTCGGATTCTTTCAAGACAGCCCTGGTCCGATGTCGACCAATGGTGTGCCTACCTCCTACTGGTGTCCCACAAACCATCCTCCCGTGGGTTTGTTGGTCGATTTGGAAAGATCGAAACTCGCTCGTCTTTGAGGGCGTATGCGCACAACCTGAAACTATTGCAACAAGAAGTTTAAGTTTGGCAAGAGAATGGAACAACGCTCAAGATGCTGTGACTAAGACTCAGAGGACTCACCTAGGCCTTCAGAACAATCCCGTCAACAGCTTTCCGCATCCCATTCCCCGGATCTCTGGCTGTAAGACAGATGCGTCTTGGAATGGGGATCTTCTGAAAGCGGGCCTTGCATGGGTGATCAACGATTCGACAGGGACGGAAGTGACGAGAGGAGCGGTGGTTCAGAAGTTTGTTAGTTCACCGCTGATTGCTGAGGCTTTGGCGATCAGGGAAGGTCTCTATATGGCTGCAAGTCAGGGAATCTCGGATCTCTGGATTTGCTCCGACAATCTAACGCTCATAGGAGCAATCAACAACAAGACACAGAGGAAAGAGCTTCTGGGAATCATCTCAGACATCCACGATCTCTCTTCTATATTTGTTTCAATCTACTTTTTTCATGTTTCTAGAAAGGACAACGAGAAGGCGGATGCGATAGCAAAAGCCGTACTCGGAATCTCCTTGTGTAATGGACCTGGATTGGGCCTGGTTTTCCTTGGCCCTATTTGGTTTATTAAGTATTTCAGTGACAAAAAAAAAAAAAATAACTGACCTGTTTGTGCCTCTATTAAATAAAAATAAATTCAGTCACAAGAATTTATTTGCACTGGACAACTTCAAATTTGGACAGGTTGCTTACACATTTGATGCTGGTCCAAATGCGGTACTGATTGCACGCACCAGAAAGGTAGTTGTTCAATTGCATCAGGGGCTTCTCAACTATTTCCCTCCTAAGTCGGACACTGACATGAAGAGGTAACAGATAAAAACTCCGTGACTCGTCCGCTGCGGTTTATGTGAGTTTAATAATATACGAGTAAAATGCTTGTTTATTATGATTTTTGTTTCTTTGATTTACCAGTTACGTAGTAGGAGACAATTCGATTCTAAAAGAGGCAGGATTAGATGGAGCAAACAGTGTAGAGAATCTGCAACCTCCACCTGAGACTAACGACAACATTGGAACTCGGGATAAAAAAGGAGAAGTCAGTTATTTTATCTGCACTAGACCAGGAAGAGGTCCTGTCGTGCTTCCTGACCAAACTCAAGCTCTTCTGGATCCGGAAACCGGCCTTCCCAAGTGAACATTGTCTCTGTTTCAATCTAATGTTTATGATTAGCACCATCCATTAACTGAAGACTAAACTGATATTTGTGGCACAATAAGTGCAAGCTTCGTTGTTATATATTGCTAGCTTTCTTACTACCAATAAAAAAAATCACTGTTTCTGTTTTACCATAGTACTATTTTTATTATTACACTGCAACATAAACAAAAAAAAATGCTTACATGATACATAAATATATAATTTGCTTATCCTAATATCAAAAACGAATGAGAAATTGATTGAAGAACAATAATTTAAATACCACTTTTTAATATTACCTTCAAAACAATATTATAACATTTGGATTTAAGGTTTAGTAACTATTTAAGGTGAGGTTGAATTTATAAACTTATATAAATATCCATAAATTATTTCAAAAATTTATAAATGATTTGGAAGAGTTATTTTAGTTTTATTCATCCCACTTAAAATATTTATAAAAGTAATTATATTTTAAAAATAATTTTAGAAAATGATACCAAATTTGTGGTAAAATTAAAAAAAATTCTTTAATAATAATATATGTAATCTGCACGTTTGTATATAAACACTTTAGTATATATTATACACTAGAAGGCATATGAGTTTTTGTTTTTAGTATCTTACAATCATTTTTATTATTTTAATACAAAACATTTCATAAATAACAAATTGGATGCAAAAGCACAATCCAAATTTCAATATTTTTTTCATAACTATTATTTGATTTTGATATTTGATAATATATTTTGATTGTACTATACAAGTTTTTGCTTAACATGTATTCTTAAACCCTAAACCCCAAACCTCAATTTTTTCTGTTAAATTTGGTGACGACTTGCTAAATTGGCAAGTAAATGAAAAAAATGTTAATTAACCAACATTTAGTATTTTTATAAAGTCGGCTACCATCATTTTTGGAACATCCATGGTGAAAAATTAAAAAACTCATGAAAACTAATAATATTAAAAAAAAAAATATTTAGCTGGGAATAACATATAGAAAATAATTTTTAGTATATATATATACTTCATAACATAAGAACTTCATGAAGAGTAGGATTGATAGAGAATGTAGATTTATATTAGTTACTTTCAAAATACTAAACATATATATATATATATATATATATATATATATATATATATATATATATATATTTAAAAAATTGATTTCTTTTTATCGACAAAAAATTGATTCCAAAACCAATATATTTTCTAATTTAATTTTTGGGTTGTAGCTTTAAATTATTTTCTTAAAAATAATTGATAAATTAAAGCGATTGTAAAAATAAAAGAACTGTGAAAAGAACCCATATAACTTACCAGTTACCTCTGAAAACATGTCTGAAATTTCAGAAAAGTAATCAATATAATTATTAAATCCAATAACTTTGAAATTGTAAATAAAATTTAATAATTTTATTTTTCATGTATAGTTCTAGAAAGATTGACTTACTGGTAAAAACTTACCCACTACTTATGCAACAAAAATCAGATAGAATGAGCAAAGGAGTTAGACAATCAAAATTTCAAAATTATAGGAGTTTTAACCTATTTTTATTGTAATATTATTTTAAATAATGTAAAATATATTTTTATCATTATTTATATTTTTCATTCAAATAAATTAAAATTCGTTTTCAATAATTTATATTTGTCAAAGTTTCATATAATACTAAGAGATACTTTTAGAAACAAAAATAAAATGATGACACATTTATACAACAAAAAATTGAGGTACAATATTATTTATATGTCATATTAATTCAACATAACTAAATAGATAATTTCATATAATTAATAATAGATTTATTGTGTGAATAACTTCTAGATTAATTTTCTTAAACATTTTAAAAGAAACGTAGCAAATGATAAAAAAATAAAATAAAAGCAATATTATCGAATAAAAAATATGTTCATGAAATATAATATTATATTTTTACGATAATTTATGTTATATATCATCAAATTTTGTTTTACATAATTCAATATTGCACTATCAAACATATTCAAAATGGTTTCAGTCTTAAACCAACATTCAATAATATTTTAAATTTATTATTTAAGTTTAAAGCAGTGTTATTAATTTTTTTTCCTCATACACTTATTTTATAATACAATTTTGATAATTTATTCAAGCCAGTATACAAACAACCTAATAATTTCACATTAACTATTCAATTTCTTAAAACGATTTTATGTTAAATGCAATAATTTATAAACATGTAAAAATTAAAAAATTTCAAAACATGTTATCCGCGCGT